ATCGATCCTAATTGCGTGGATCGATACTCATGATATCAATCACTGATTGTCTTGTCCAGACTCGATTAATTTAAGACCGCCGTCATATAGCTTCCATATTGCTGAGTGCGGCGTAAAACAACAAACCAACCAACCAACCAACAAGTCGGATAATGCTGAGGTGAACTTTACTCCGATGTGCGGCCAACTCTTTCCATTTTACGATGAGCGTCTTACGCTCAAACCATGTATAAAGAAAACTAATTTATATAACAATATTTCATATTTATGTATGCAGTGCTGTGACTTATTCAACTCTAAATAAGTTATTGCTATGTATATTTCTATTTAAGCATAATAGGGGCCATATGTTAGTCTGCTGTGCATGTATTGTCGTGCATTGAATCACTGCATGAAAAACGCTATTTCTCTTTTTTAAAAAGGATGTATCAAAGTTACCCAAAGTGACGGCACAAACAAAACGTCTTCTCACTCGAATAACAGACACATACAGCTGATTTTTTAAAAAACAAACCACAACTGCATGACGACTTTTTTTAAAATTTTTTTTTTTTTTGTTGTTTAACGCCTCACTCAGCAATATTCCAGCTATATGACGGGGGTCTGTAAATAATATAATCTTGACCAGACAGTCCAGTGATTGCTATGAGCTTCGATCCACGCATTTGAGATAGGATGAGATGCATCAACCAAGACAGCGAGCCTGACCACCCGATCCCGTTCGCCGCCTCTTACGACAAGCACAGTCGCCCCTCACGGCAAGCATGGGTTTCTGGAGACCTGTTCTATTCCGGATCTTCACGAGTAGACAGGAATATGAAAACTGATCTCTTTCGTCTGACCTATGGTTGGGTCGTTATCATGACATCTTTGCTTCAAAGGGCCAAAATGACAAGCAGTTAATATTTTTTACTGTAGGTATTCTATTTTAAACACATAATCCCCAATTACTTGAGTTCTGCAATAATCCATCTGCCACGAAGACAATGTACAAGACGAAGTACAGTAGATCATATATAAGATACGAGGCGTACAGGTCAACAGGTTTATTACCCTGTGACCATAACAAATAATCACTTGCTATGAGCCGGTCTCAAATTCTAAGCAAAAACGTATTGCAACCGAAGATTGATGTGGTCTGGGTGTTGGTGCAAGTAGCAATATAACAAACGGTCACAGCAAGAGAAGTGTTTTTCCAATATTGCTGCTGTAGAGCACGCGTTGAGATACAAATGTGTTTAGGCTGGGCTGCTGCTGAAATATGGTTGAGTACAATTTTCCAAGCTCTTTCATTAAAGAGCAACTCGGCTCGAGACAACATATTGTCCTAGCAAGTTATTCAACCGCTACTTGTCTGCGGACTCCAATTTTATGAAGCTGTTCAATCAAGCCAAAAATTATTCCCCTAATTTCAAAGAGACAATTATATAATTTTTTATATTACCTTAATAATAATGGGGGCGATGGGGTGGCCTAGTGGTTAAAGCGTTCGCTCGTCACGCCGAAGGCCCGGGTTCGAGTCCCCACATATGTACAATGTGTGAAGCCTATTTCTGGTATCCCCGCCTTGAAACTGCTTGGATATTGCTAAAAGTGGCGTAAAACCTTACTCACATGACAACAGCGGTTGCTGTCAATTGGCATGAACATCTAAGTGAGTGAAGACGACAAGGATGCCAATTGTCATTGGATATTTAGGGAATCGATTCCAAGTCATCTCATCGCATATTTTGTATTAATAGTAGGTTGGATAATTACATGCTTAGCTTAAATATGAAACCGGACAAATTATGCCGTTGGTGGCAGACGGGGCAATGCCTTTAATTACATCCTGGTATTTTGCATGTCTCAGATCTGACAGCGACAGCAAAATTATGTTCGTTTCATTGCTGGTGATATTTATTTATGTATGTGATGGTAATTAGTGTCTTGGTTTTAACTCATATGTTGATTAAACCAGGTGCAGTACCGGAATTGCACAGCACCAAAGGGTAGGAACCGATTTTACTGTAACCAGCTGAGATCAACGTTAACCTATTTAAAGGAAAGGATAATTTGACCAATAGTGGGCGTTTCGTCGACCTGTAGAATTAGTGATATTCGAATATTATTTGTCATTTTTTTTATCGCCACGTCCGATACAGATACATAAAGAAGCATCACACCTTTTAACTGTATCAGCAACAAGGCACATTAACTTTTTTTCATTGTACAACTAATTATTTCCCACTGACTCTCTGCACTTGTTTGCAGCAGAAGTAATACAAAGCTAACATATCGTTTATAATTTGTCTGGTCTGGACTCTTTTACTCGGTTGTTGCGGTCGTATGGCAAGAATATTTCTGGCAACAAACACTTACTTTTTATTACAAATTGTGTGAATGACGGTTTCTACCTGTAGAGCAGGCCAAGCTTACCCTTTTCGCGAACACAAATTGTGTGAGTGACGGTTTCTACCTGTAGAGCAGGCCAAGCTTACCCTTTTCGCGAACACAAATTGTGTGAGTGACGGTTTCTACCTGTAGAGCAGGCCAAGCTTACCCTTTTCGCGAACACAAATTGTGTGAGTGACGGTTTCTACCTGTAGAGCAGGCCAAGCTTACCCTTTTCGCGAACACAAATTGTGTGAGTGACGGTTTCTACCTGTAGAGCAGGCCAAGCTTACCCTTTTCGCGAACACAAATTTTCAACGCTATGTTGATTTTTGCGCCCTATGGATTCCGTTTCAGCAGATGGTCGAGACTGATTTGTCTCCGGCGTTGACGTCTTCTAGTCAACCACAGCTTGGATGATGGAGCAATGTTAATAGTTTTCAGATTTATGTTATACCCAAATCCATTGGGCGCAGTTCAAGATGCATCTACGGCTAAGTGCACATTTCTGGTGTCCCCCGCCGTGATATTTCTGGAATATTGCTAAAAGCGGCGTAAAACCATACTCACTCTACCGCTAAATTGTATAGTCTATGTACATAAGTTCGGAAATCTCTGGGATGTGGATTCTTCTAAAGAATTGAACCTACGGGGGTGTTTCTGCCAACTACAGCACAAATGTGAAGCAATCTGGAAGGATTTATTGCTCTAAATGTTAAGTTGCTGTGCAGGGATTGGTTACCACCGTCGATGTCTATGTGACAATCTAGACTTGGTGATAGGTCTTACACTCATATGTTCTCATTTACTGGGAACAACCTTGTCGCATATCATACATGGGAAGCATAATGTTCAATAATTCAATTTCATTGCCGCACAAAAAATAGTTTAACATGTATATGCGAAGGTGTTAATGGACAGAGTATGATACATATACCTCCCCTGCGAGTTCTTGGTGCTTCAGTGGGATCAAAGGTACAAGAGTAAAGAGAAATAATCGGTTCAGGCAATAACCGCGCTCACACCAATGCCCGCGTGGCTTCTAATGTTTATAAAGAAGTGGGATGGATTGTGGAGAGTGTGATTGACTACAGCTAATGCAACGTCGTATCACTCTCCTTACGTCACTCTGTAGCTGATGCCAATAAACCCGACACCATGCAAGGCAATGATGTGACTGTAAGCAGAATAATTACCTGTTCTACAATGCTGAGAAAATGTGCCATTGTGTGTTAATTTGTCGATGTTCCCAAATGGGAGACGTTATGTAATTTCAAGTACTATAACATACCGTTATATTGAGTTATTATTCCGGTATCGTCAAGAAGATACTTTTGTAAAATTATATTTGGTATAGCGTAGGGCAGGTCCATTTCAGAAGCAATTAATGTATGATCTAAAAACTGATTTCCAAAAAACGTTTATTTGTTGGTGATAATTGTTTTTCCAATAAACTAATTGTATTAGATCTTCTATTGTCCTTCAGATATGTCCCAGACAGTGGATGGGTACTTGAAGATTCAGAAGTTAATTAACGAAGCAACATTAATAACATTGCTGTGCGTATTGGTTCTTCTGTGTAACGGTTAACCCAACGTTCACAAGTGTTTCTATCATTTGTATTCTTGTATTTAACTGACAATGTTTCCACCCAAGGCCATAAGGTCGATGCTGTTACAGTGCGTGAGTGACATTGCTCAACGCACTATTTCAACCAGTTACGCAATGTCACTAGAGATGCTTTATTATTAAAATTCCTAGAACGTTCTATCAACACAAAAGGAGTGCTGTGCTCTTCGTGTCCAATACTTTTTAAACTGAGAAGTCATTTATACAACACTGCGCTCAGTAGTGTATGGCGTACACTACGTTTCTTCTTAACGTATCATTACAATCTCAATATATCAATTTGTACACATTACATATCATCCACTAATCAATCTTCCAAACAATTGCAATGTCTATATATGTAATTATTCATGTGTTCCAAGACTTCTCATATACAAAATACCATGACATGTTTGATGTTCATTTCCGTGGAACTAATTTCATAAGCTATTATAGCAGATTCTTGTGTCTTTATTGAAGGTAATATAGTCTGATTGTTGATTTAATGGCGTGCGATATCATATATATGTCAAAACACACGGCATCTTGTCAACGGCATACCATTGCCAACATAAAATGAAAATGTATTCGCCAGAGAGTATGTGTTAATAGGCAAAGAAAGGACATTTCCCTCCTCTTCAATATTTCACTGCGTAATACACTATGTCGGAAACAACTCTTAAATTTGTCATAAAACTGTAATATCGATGGCATTAAGAACATTGGTGTAAGTCAGTGATCGTGCTTTAACGGTCATAAAAACAGATGGGGCAAGGCAATTGGATCACAATATATATTGTAAAATTAAACATGTCTCAATGCTTTATTCCACCCAATTATCATAAAACCCCGTATCCCCAATACACAGGCAAATGCATTGCTCAAACTCATGAATTTGATTCCAAGAAGTGCAAAAACTTTTTTGCATGTTTTATGCAAAGTGCAAAATGTTAAACTGGCGAAAAATTAAAATGATTCTGCCATCATCAAAATTAATGTGAATGTAACGTTCTACTTACTTCTATGGATTCTGCGAGGTTTGGTGCGATGTTGTCAGTGATCCCGCAGGTGGCGATGTCTCTACTTCCAATCTGTCTCGCAGTAACAAGGGCCGAGCATCAAGTCGACACGTTATTATATCGTGAGAAGGAACCCGATTGGTCGACGTCACAGCCCGGAAGCCAATCAATTCGAAGTCCCGATTGGTCGCCTACTCACCTATGGTGAAATACTGTTTACGTCCTAGGACCATGAGTAGGAAGTATTCGATGAGAATGGCGATAATGCTGAGAATATTGAAATTTCCTTACACCGCGAAAATTTGGCGGATACTGCGTCAGAAATCGATATGTATAAGGGGATGGAGATAACGAGAAATGGATAGGGGTAATGGTAATAATGAATAAGGTGGGTGCGCAAAGTAACCTTTTAACTGTGATTTTACTAATTCTTGAGTAAATGCATATATCAGTTACGCATTAAGTAGTGCTTGCTTATCGGTTAGGATTGATCGAAACTACCACATGAAATTGAAGGTCCACAAATGTCAATGTGCAGTTTAATGAGCAGATCGATTACAACGAAGGCTTCTGGTTCAGATCACAACTTACTTTATCACGTTCTAAACTCGACTTTTACTGCGTCATTTCAACCTTTTAAAAGAACATGTGTAATTTGTTTGTGTTATCTCATTGATAAAAACATCTTATTTCGCATGTTTTTTCTTAAACCACGTTATTATTAAATATCAAGGAAATTATTCATTATTTAGGTAAGAATGCATTATGATTTAACATTAATAGTGAGAAATGGGGTTATTGCAATGCATTAATGTTTTTTCTCACACCTTGCCTCATTTTTGGATTAGGTAGCATTGTTTGTCAATAACGTCTAATATTTTTAAGCATTTACAAATAATTGATTTCCATTTATTCAAGATGGATCGGCTAGATATTACAGTGAAAATGGATCTTTTAAGTAGATCCCAGCCAATCTTGCATTTGCAAATGTCATTCTTCAAAATGTATCATACAACAACATCCAAGTTAATTGAATGGCATCAGGTCTCTCGGCACTATGAGTGATGGTAGAAGTCCATCTTTCCTAAGGTGAAAATCATGTACCTTTTCAAAATTAGAGCTGATCGCATGTGCATCTATAACTATTTAAAATGAAAAGGGTTTAAGATGTCATGAATGTATTTAAGAATCAAGTGTCATTCCTGGTAACGCCAGATATGTGACAGTTGAGATCCTGAAATTGTTTCTTGGGCAGTTGGTCCAGTGACATCGGGCGTGCTTCATTTTCCGCCTCGCTGAACCTGCTTGACTCCAATCACGGAGTAAACCCCAAGGGAGTATAAAATTCCTGTGCATTTAGAAGAAGTCAACATCAAGCCAAAGGTCAGACAGCTATGGCTGCAAATATTGCACTGCTTTTTCACTTTACAACTCTTCTAAGTACCCTGGCTTTTTACAAATTCTCTGTATACCTTTTTAGCTACCATATTTCATATCTACCATATATTCAAAATGAGAAGTACAACAAATTTCATGTTACATAAGCATTTACATTGATTTTGCTAAGTTGATTTGACAACATATGAAACCGATTTTTCGCCTTATCCATTTTCGTCAATCACAAATCAGTCTCAATTTTCTCTGAAGCAAAATGTATGATGATATTTTTCAAACATACGTTTTTTTAATATTCGTCTTTCTGTCATATTTTTCGGATGTATCATGAGGATGTATTTGAGCGGATATCCAGATGGCATGCTCATATGGCCACAAATCAGGATTATTCACAGATGTGGGAGTGAAAGAGTTCCTTTCTAATCACGTCGAAATTGTGTGATTATTCTCCACTGATCCTCCCTGTCTCACAGGGGCGATTTCCACGTCAGTTGGACACCCTGCACGGAGCTGTGATTGTCTCTGCAGACCTAATCCCGTGTTAATCAAGGACTGAAAGGTGACATTTGTTTACTCTGGTATTTCAGGAAGTAATGATGTTGTATCAGTTGATTCTATAACTGATATCTTCATGCAGGTTATGATGACATTGTCATTAGGTAGGAGAGCAAGTCATATCTGAGAAATATAAAACGTCAACGCCAGAGAATAGATGGTCTGGATTATTCCACGAAATACATTCCATTGTGCGTGAAAGGCAAAATAGCAGGGGGAATTATATGAATGAATCACTGACAATCAGTGATGTCACCAGGTGTTCGCGAATCGGATTAAATTTGTTGTAGAATATGAAGGCCGTTCCATACATGATTATCTACCAACTCAATTTTGGAAATATTTATTAAGGATTCTATCGCGAATATACAATGTCATTTAGAAAGTGTTCTGTAACAAATGTTACATTTGGGATAACACTTTCTTAGTAAAGTACAGATTCTCGTACTTTTGGGGATTTAGTCCCGTCCGGGATTCGAACACACACTGCCAGAGTGAGGTACCTAATCGCCAGCACACAAAGTCAGCCATCTAACCCACTCAGCCACCGAGGCTTCCACAAAATGAAAGTCCGACAACTGGTAGTCTAGATCACGTACTTTGAGTACCGCTCTGACAAGTGTAAATTGGCGCGGCTCCCATGGCCGAAAGCTAAAAATACACAATGCCATTTAGAAAGTGGTCAAATGTAACAAATGTTATATTTGGGATAACACTTTCTTAGCAAAGTACAGATTCTCTGATTCTCAGATTGTGCTTGCGATTAGATGCCTCACTCTGGCAAGTGTGGGTTCGATGGGACTCAACCCCCAAAAATGGCCGAGAATCTGTACTTTACTAAGAAAGTGTTATCCCAAATATATCATTTGTTAGATTCTATCGTGGTTCTAACTTGCGTGAATGTTCCTTTGGCAAGGAGAATGTGCATTATATTGCTTTAAATATGTTAGTAGCCTGTCAACATAACGTCTTCCTCAAAACTTGTATTACGTTCCTCCAAACAATTTTCGAACGTTTTCTTAGCGTGAATGCACTGTAGAAGCTGTTATGTGCAACGTCTTGAGCAATGACGTCATGCTTTTATTGTGTACTTTCACAACACCATTGTCGACATTTGTGCTAAAGTCCAAACGTACCAGCGACAGAGTCTTGTGTTATCACATAGCGCTGCTTCCACCGTCCGTCCAAATTCCACGTGAACAATTTAAGCTTTTAGACGATAACCGGAATACATGTTAATGAATCTTTACCACACATGTAAATGACAGGACATTCCTTCATAAACAAAAAGGGTAAAGTATTGCTTACTTTTTGTAGGCAAATTCAATTTTTTCAACTTGTTTATAAATCCATATAATTCTCACCGCTACTTTGCCCTTCGCGCCCAATGGAATCACTTTCTGTGGATAATCGTGATTATTCTCTGGCGTTGACGTTTTATACTTATTATAACTAACCAAATCGACTGTACAATGTATTTAGTTTGTTTGTTGTGTAACAGCGCAATCAGCAATAGTCCAGCAACATATCTGGGTTCCCAATGATGATGGACGCCCAACAATTAAACCCCAGTTCGAATGAATGTCTGGCAATTTTTGTCAATGCAAAATTATTATTTAGTTATTTATTAGTAATTTTTGGGAATTTTTCTTGTGCATTTTCAAATAGAATAGAATAGAATATATAGATTACTAACGTTAGATACCGCTTTTATTGCAATGAGTTTGTTTTAAAAATAAATTGTAATAAAAACTGTAAAAAACTGGTGGTATTTATTACTAACTTGAACATGACACATTACCTTAATTCAACGAAGAGACATATTCCCTTGACAATGTAACAAAACAATATGAATATTTCATTCTTCATTTCTTTATTACGACGTGTTTTTTTGGCGTTATCTATTGTGTAATTGTCCGATTTTCGATCACGAACGTTGATACTACTTAATTTCGTTTATCCGACATACTCCTTAATCCAACATAATCATATGAAACCAACCATGTCGGATTAACGGGACTGACTGTATAAGGGTGGCGTATGAATACAACATTCATAGCTGGTGATTTGACTGTAGACTTTTCCCTCAAGATGCCGAGTCGATTATAAGAAAGGATTCAATGCAGATTATTAAAACATGTTCGCAATAGCAGAAACACAAACATCAACGGACAAAATCAAACTTTATTTCAAACTCAACCCAGCGTAGTTGCTTGTAGCCCGAGAGACGAACGATCTCTTGACCTCTCAGCGGACTTCTGTCATGAAATTGATTGTAATTATCGTTAAGCAACAACAGGGGGTCAATTACGGAGCGACAAAGATCCACGACACAGGACAGCATCGTTTGTCATGGTTACGACGTTGCTACACGACTTTGTCCAAGGGGGGGCTACTCTCATTAACGGCACGACGTTCAAGGTCGTAAGTAGACTCGGTGATGAATGGTTGACGCTGTTTCGACATAATGGTTTATTTATTAATGATGATTAAACATTAATTAATGTCACGATACTTGCATTACTAAAATACAAAAGTATCTCCGTTTCAAAAGTAGCATTTTTTTGCGAGTCCTGCGATCGGTCAAAGGCAACTGCAATCACTGGAAAATTTACTGCAAAGAATTAAGTAAAATATGTCCAAAATACATTGAGTTTTTGACATGCATGCATATTGTGTCGATGCATCTCTGGTGAAAAATGGTGTCTATCGGAGTAGATTATCCGTCTAGCAGCAGAGTAGGAGTTGCAGAGTAAGTTACAGTGTGCTGCCGACGCCCTCTTTCTAATGACCAGTTGATGCCAAAAATAGTCGCGTCGGTTTGTAATGTTTCTACACAATGTGTAATACATCTGCACGTTTATCAAAAAGTGATATTTCCAACAGGTGAGTATTACAACCTAATAATGTATGCCGGCACTGTGATGTTTACGATATGCCGCGATCATGCATTCTGGAAAACGGAAACATGTTCTGACCTGTTGTGTTTTCTAAATTAAATTATGAATATTTTATAATCTTCTGTTACAAGAAGAACCACAAGGGCTGACATATATATATATCATGGTTCCGAAAGACATTCATAATCTTATACACACTCAATCTACTTGTATATGGAAGCTAGAAAATGAACATTCTTTCTGAAATAGATATTTATAATGTTTAGGGTTAATATGTTGAAAAAGAGGGTTGGTTCTT